ATGGTTAAAATGATAAAGGTATTTTCTCTGTGTTGCCAGATTCAGGGTACTGAGGAAAACCTGCAGATCACTATTCCCCTGCTTCAGAACTCTCAAGCTATGTATAATGAAGGAGCCCCTGAGTTTGTTGTTGATCAGGGATTATATTATCCACCTGCCACCAATTATGGTTATTTCTGTACAGGTATGATACTTCATTTTGTTTTTGTTCACTTTGTTTAATAAGGTAGGTATGATTCTAGAACTTATCTTGAGATTCCAAATCGCGAACGATAGTTGGATCCCTTACTTGTGTTAATGTTTTATTTGGTCAGGATTAGAATCACCTGGTGATTGGGATGGCCACCAAGGATTTTTTGGTCTGGATGGTCAGGATATTCAGTATATGGTCAGTTCATTCTTCTACATAGTTAACCAAAGTACATCAATATTTTTGTTGCAGTGTGTTGTCTCTGTTGACTGTATTTGTAACTTTTTTTCTCTTCATTTCAGGATGCTCAAACTGAAAGTTTCCCGTATGTATATTATACACCTAACTATGGATGTGCACAGTCTTCATATAACCCATACAACCCTTACATTCCTGGTGCTGTAGTAGGAGTTGATGGACCATGTGCAGGGCCACAACATTACTACACAATCCCCCCTTATGAAAATTTGGGATCATCTTCGTACTTCCCCATGGCGGTGCCATCTACATCTAGTATTCCTGCGAATGCTGCAGACCCAATAATGGATAGTGTTCTATCTTCTACTAACAGAGCTGACGATCTTCGTCTTAAACGTAATTTATCTCCAACATCTCCAATATTTACCCCGACTTCATTAGGGCCAGCTTCAGGTTATAAAAGTGCATCTAACAGGGGATCTGAAAGTGCAAAGATCAATGCTGCATCGAGCAAGCAGCACATGTCACATGGTTTTTCCAGTCCATCCTCTCAAGTACACCCGGTAAGGAACTTTCTTCGTTGTTTGGAAGGTGTCCAATAGGGCTTCTTTTACGTGGGTTCATTTGTTAGTATTCTTCTAATTTCAAGTGTGCTCTTGTACCTATTGTAGAAATTCTATCTTGTATTTTTCTTCGCCTCTTCATGGAACTGTGGCTCATGCATCTCTGTGTTTTTTTGTGAATCCTTTGATAGGGTAAAGTTGCTCAAGCTATAGGAAGCATTATTCATGGGAAGGCTTTGTCTAATCACGGTCAACTGAGAGCTCCTCTTCCACCTGAAATTGACTTGTCTAATCACAGATCAGGTGCTCATGAGCGGGCTAATACAGATAAAATCAGGACAAAGTTTCTAAATGGAACAACCCCAAGTGATGGGAAAGTTAGTCCTGATATGTTGATGGAACAGAATAGAGGACCTCGGATTGACAGAATGAAAAAGCAATTGCTTGTGAAGGCCTACTCTACAAGAGCAGGAAATGTTGATGTGCAAGGCAATATAGTTATTCATGCTGATGAGTATAATAGAGGTGATTTTCTGATGGACTTCGTGAATGCAAAGTTTTTTGTAATCAAATCATACAGTGAGGATGATGTGCACAAGAGTATAAAGTACAATGTTTGGTCATCAACTCCTAATGGGAACAAAAAGCTAAATAGTGCTTATGAAGATGCTCAGAGAATTACTGCTGGAAATCCAAGAGGCTGCCCAATATTCCTTTTTTTCTCGGTTAGTTGATTTATACCACTAGGTCTAATCAAAGCAGTAATCACCAACTATTTTAGCCAAATAATTCATTATCAAAATAAGCTCAACTAATTTGATATTGTCTTTGAATCTTGAATATGAAGGTTAATGCAAGTGGGCAGTTTTGTGGGGTCGCTGAAATGACTGGTCCTGTAGACTTCTACAATGACATGGATTTCTGGCAGCAAGATAAGTGGAGTGGTAGCTTCCCTGTGAAGTGGCACTTCATAAAGGATGTCCCAAACCCTAACTTTAGGCATATTATATTAGAGAACAATGAGAACAAGCCAGTAACTAACAGCAGAGACACACAAGAGGTTTGTTATTTAATTCTGCATGATGTAACACATACAATTCTCTTTGCTTCTACTGTTCCTCCTTTTTTTGTCAGTATGTTTACCTGAAATTAGTATTTTTGGTCTGAGGTGGGTAATATACGAACCTGTATTGGCAATGCCATAGAACCTGCTACCTAATTTCTTGTCAACAATTTATCCGGCATTTTGCTCTCTTTTTTCCCATTATTCATTGATTTCTCTCTGTGGTCCTCTTTTTTCTTCTATTCCTTTTTTTTTGGGAGCCAATGGAGGTGACACACATTAGGGCATGTCTTCCATTAACTTCGACTATTCATTTTATGTCATATGAAGACAAGTGCTGACCAATCACTATTCTTCCCCTCCTTGTGTGATGCTATTGCAAACTTTTTTATGCTCTCCGTCCCCAGTTCTTTCTCCCCATTTGACTAACACATCCAATTGAGAGTACATCAGCTTTTATGCATCAGTTATTTTCTGATTTTTTCCTCGTCTTCTTTGTTAAGAATGTCTGTTGGGCATCAACACAATCTCCTCCTCTATGTTTTGGCCATTTTCTTCTTTGGCAACAGTATACATACATACAGATTTGAAGGGATTGAAAACGCATACATTTATTTAATAAATTGATAAGGTGGTATGGTTAACAGCATGCACTTTAACTGTCATTATACCTTTGTTTATATAGAGAACATTTATCTCCATTATCAAAGAAATCTTCCAGTACCTGTCCACAAGTCTCCATACCTCTTGCAAGATCATTTTAATGTTAAACCTGTAACAATGTTACTAATAATTTCTCAAAAGTCATGTCAGAGAAACAGCATGTCTTATGAAACCATACCCTTTAAAATTGTATGGATCATAAGGGTAGTTTGATGAAATGTCCATCCAGCATGAAATACCTTTACTGCTCTTCTTTGCCTCATACTGGCTCCTGCACTGGTTGATGTTATGGTATGAGTTACAGCTGTTTATATCTGCCATGGTGCCATTGTCTTGCATTTCACTTTACTGAAGTTGGCTTCTACATTTTAGAAAATCGCATCATTTCTCCCTTGTTGTGAATAAGCACATATGCTGCAAGAAAGGCAGTGGAAAAAATCTGACATCCTTTGTTATCAATGTGCAGATACGCTACAAGAAAGGCATTGAGATGCTGAAAGTATTTAAGGATTATGCGTCAAGGACATCATTACTAGACGACTTCATGTATTATGAAAACAGACAGAAACTCTTGCAGGAAGAGAAAGCCAAGCTGCTAATCAGGAGCTACGATAGCCCATTTGCTGTTCCTGTACTGGATCCTCCACGCAAGCTAAATTCTACTCCAGGTTTACCTTCTGGTGAAAGTGAGAAGATCTCAAAGTGTGGTGAACAACAACAATCTGGAAATTGCATGGCTGTTCCTGCAGAACTGAATTCCATAGTTTCTAAAGCTAACAAAGAGAGTGCAGATAATGGTGACAAACTTGTGGCTGAAGGAGGTCCACTCGTGAATACTGCACTGAAGATTGGTTCCCTAACTATCAACCCGAAACCATTGGAAGATAAGCCCCTGGATGTACATAGCACTACCAACACAGCGGCCAGCACCCAGTCAGTTGATGTTGTCACTGTGGGATCTATGCCTGTTAAAGTTAATGGATATGCTGAATCTTCTGGTTTCCTGACTATTGGAACAATTCCTCTTGATCCTAGAGCTTTCCAGCGTGAAGAGGCCAGTGGATCTGGAAAAAAGGTCCTTAAGTGAGTATGCATGAGCACAGTAGTGTCGATACTGAAGGAAAAGTTAGTTCCCTGTCGTATAATATACTTGGTCCTACCAAAGTTGATCGGATAATAAGTTTTGGGATATGTTCTGTTCTTCATTCCTCCTTTCGAGGAGAACGTGGCTGAGATACTAATTTTTAGTTTGTGGTTGGGATTCGGATGATGGCTGATATTTTGCTTCAAATACAGCGCAAGTTCTGCCTTTTGGCTTCTCATTTTCAACAGATTCAAGGTTTCCATATATTTTCTTCAGCATTAAGACAAAAAAGAAAAAAAGCAAAATGCTTCTTTTGGTATTCTTTAGTTGTTGACTTGAAAACAAATGTAATGTTTGCGCGCTGCGCGTCTGCTTGATGTTTATCCTGGATTTACAGTAACTGAGAGTTTCTCCAGTTCAAATTGTCAGTCTTGTGTTTCAAAGTAGTCTTATTATGGTTCTTGTGTGTGTGTCTATGTTATCTTCTTTATATTCATGTATGTGCCTGTGCATTGGTAACTTCAACTGTTGAGTTTCCCCCATTAGCAATTATTGATTGTGTGGTAATGAGTGGCTTTGCATTTACCTATCTATGATTTTGATTTTTTTTTTCGAGTTTCATATTTTAACTATTAGCTGTTTTTTTCCCCTTTTATTACTTGAATTATCAATATTTATGTATTGAACACGCCTAGTTGAGAGATGGTGATAGTTTAAGTAGAAAAAGGTATAATCGATAGTTGCTTAATTAGCTTTGAGGTGTGTTTTGCACTTTGTTTAGATTGTTGTTTTATGTCATTTCTTGATACACTATCTTGTATTTTATTTATCTATAAATATAATGTCTGAATAGATTGCATCATTTTTGGTAAGGTAACGACATCATTTTTAGTAATAAGGTAACAATGCAATCATACTCCAACAATTGATTTTTCATAATATATTTGTCAACATGATTTAACGATACGATCCAACAAATTGATAATACATACACTTGTAGTTGAGACATGAAAGTCGAAAAAAAGTTTAGACGTGAAAGTCGAAAACAAAGTATACATAGAGTGATGCAAAAAAAAAGTTCATAAAAAGAAAAGGAAGAGGAATAAACTTTGTAGTAATAAGAGAAGAAAAGTGAGAGTCTTCAACAACTCAACAGTTCACATCGAATCACCAAAATTGACCAAAAAACCTACCGGAAAGTTCACCGGAATACACGATTCCGTTAACTGACCTATACAAATGGCGATTTCAACCTTAGCTAGACGAAAGGCTACAACGTTTCTGTCATCCAGATTCCTTTACAGCACTTCCAAGTATTCGTTCTCTTTTACCAGAGGTTTCGCTTCAGGATCCGATGAGAACGACGTCGTTGTTATCGGTGGTGGTCCCGGCGGCTATGTGGCGGCGATCAAAGCAGCACAGCTTGGGCTTAAAACTACATGTATCGAGAAACGTGGTACCCTCGGTGGTACTTGCCTTAACGTTGGTTGTATTCCTTCTAAGGTATATTTACTCATTAGTTTATTTTGAATTTATGAGCTTTGTTGAGGATATTAGAAGAAAATATAGAAGAAAATAGTGAAATTATGATGAATTTGCTGAAACCTAATGGATACATAGGATTTATTTTTTATGTAGCTGATGCTAACTTATTTTGAGTTTGAGATGTACAAGTTAATTGATGGACTTTCACTTGCTAAATTCTGAATTTTGTTATTTTTACTACTTTTCTCGAAATTGGATTGTTTTCTTAAGATCTATTTGATCTTTCTATTGCTTGTTATTGCAATTCTGTTGATTCCACCGACTCACCGTGCAATTACGCTGAGCTTATGCATATTCGTTCTTCCAAGAGAATGGTAAATAGGATGGTTGAAATGGAAGTTTATGATCGTGTAGTGCAAACATATATGTCTAACAAAGCAAATGTTAGGTCTATAAGATCCAACATATTGTTGTAGAAATGCAGCTGTTGAACTTAAGAGATTGGATAAAATTAGAAATGATTGCATCTAATAGAAAGTGCTAGTAGCACGTTTAGAGGATAAATGAGGAAGTGTCATTTGGGATGGTTTGACTATCTTGTACATAGATCTCCAGGTGTAGCAGTTATCGTGTGCGTCGTCAGTTTGATGGTGATAGATGTTTAAAGGGATGAATTAGACTTCTCTCAGAATCAATACGAACAGCAGATAAGAACATAATAGAAAGAAAGCAAAGAATTGGATTAGATTAGAAATGATTGCATCCAATAGAATGTACAAGTAGCACACGTAGAAAATAAATGAGGAAGTGTCATTTGAGATGGTTTGACCGTATCCTACATAGATCTCTCGGTGTAGCTGTTAGCATGTGCGTCGTCAGTTTGATGGCGGGAGATGGTTAAAGGGACGAATCAGACTTATCTCTAGGAATCAATGTGATAAGGGGCATCAACTTATTAAAACTAAGATTTAATTGTTATTGTTATACTTACATTAAGGTTCAATGTCCGTGAAAAGTCTTCTAGTTTTGGTTAGAGAGTTGGATAATGTGATCTAGAGAACTATTTATTTGTTGTAAAAGACATTATTAGTATGAAATGAAATAGACCCTAAATAGAAGTTACTAGTTTCAAAAAAAAAAATAGACCCTAATAGAGTAGAGTGGATAGATTTTGTTGATAACGGCTAAAATGGATAAAGATTTTCATATGTAGTTAACTTGACTACATTGGGATTGAGTTTAGTTGATTGATTTTGAGTTTTAATTAACACAAGGACGATGGATACAATAACCAATTTCAAAAAAAATAAATTAAAACAAGGACGATGGCCTCTATAGATATTATTGTGCATTTTTTGTGCTATTGAATATTGAGCAAAATTATTTGTTTTAGAATATTAGCCCTTTTCTGCTTCGAGCTGTGTATTTTCTGAGTTTTAGATATAAGAGAATTCAGTTTCCTTTTACGAATTTTATTTTCACTTTTGTATTATATACTATTGGCCTTAGATGAGCTAAAATGGAGTAACATGGTAAGTAAGGATTCATATAGCTGACCCCGACTTGTTTGGGAGTGAGGTGTAGTTGTTACTTTCCTTTTAATACTCTCTATTCAAGTTAGTTGCAGTCGGGCAGTCCTGGTTGACTAGCCAATAAATGGGAACTGTCGCAGATCAGATTTTGACTTTCAGAAAATTTTTCATAATTTTTCATTTGCCATAGTTTCTTCTACCTTTTATAAAAGCTTCTCAATGTTAATAGTTGCTCCCTGATTGTGTCATCTTCCCTTGGTTTGGAAATCTAGTAAGACAATTTTGAGTTGAGGGGTCATCTGAAATGCTGCACAAGCTCACTATTTCACTATTGCCAAATTAGTTTCATCGATGCCCTTAAATGTGACCTGATGGTGGGTTCTCATGTACCAACTCCACTGATATAACTTCCCCGAGAGGATATTTGTTCAGTGATAACAAAAAAACCTGGTGCCATATTTGTGAACTTGTGCCCATACGAAGCGTATTTACTAAACGACATCAAACTTACTGTTGTTTTTCCCCTCTCTCTATTGATAACACATACTCAGAGTCCATGAGGTAATAATTCGCTTTGGTGTGCTGTTTATGTTACATTTTTAAACATTATATGATTCTTCTGCATATGAATTTGGATCGCATTCTGTAAATATTGATATATAGTGGTCCATGATTTTATTATATTGTCACCGACTGCTGGTAACTTTTTCTTTAGTCAGTTTGTGAAGACTGAAACTTGTTTACGTCTTATCTTCTTATATTCTCATTACTTGGTACAGGCACTTCTTCATTCGTCCCACATGTTTCATGAAGCGCAACATTCATTTGCCAATCATGGTGTGAAGTTTTCTTCTGTCGAAGTTGATCTCCCTGCCATGATGGGACAAAAAGATAAAGCCGTGTCTAACTTAACACGAGGTATAGAGGGTCTATTCAAGAAAAACAAAGTAAACTATGTGAAGGGATATGGTAAATTCCTCTCCCCTTCTGAAATTTCTGTTGACACTGTCGAAGGTGGTAACTCTGTTGTTAAAGGCAAAAATATTATTATTGCAACTGGCTCTGATGTCAAAGGTCTACCTGGCATAACCATTGATGAGAAGAAAATTGTGTCATCCACCGGAGCATTAGCTTTGACTGAAATTCCAAAAAGATTAGTTGTTATTGGTGCTGGCTATATAGGCCTTGAGATGGGATCTGTCTGGGGTCGCCTCGGCTCAGAGGTGACTGTTGTTGAATTTGCATCTGATATTGTTCCAACCATGGATGGTGAAGTTCGCAAGCAATTTCAACGTGCTCTTGAGAAGCAAAAGATGAAATTCATGCTAAACACTAAGGTGGTGTCAGTTGATGCTACAGGTGATGGTGTGAAATTGACCCTTGAACCTTCAGCTGGTGGTGATCAAACTATTCTCGAGGCTGATGTTGTTCTCGTCTCTGCTGGAAGAGTACCATTCACTTCAGGACTTGGATTGGACACGATAGGAGTTGAAACTGACAAGGCTGGTAGAATCTTGGTCAATGAACGTTTTGCCACTAACGTCCCAGGGGTACATGCTATTGGTGATGTCATTCCTGGACCAATGTTGGCTCACAAGGCAGAGGAGGATGGTGTTGCTTGCGTAGAGTTCATTGCAGGCAAGGAGGGTCATGTAGACTATGATATGGTACCTGGTGTTGTTTACACCCACCCGGAGGTGGCTTATGTTGGGAAAACCGAGGAACAGGTAAAGTCACTCGGAGTTGATTATCGTGTTGGCAAATTCCCCTTCCTAGCTAACAGTAGAGCCAAGGCAATTGATGATGCTGAGGGAATTGTCAAGGTAATTGCTGAGAAAGAGAGCGACAAGATATTGGGTGTCCATATTATGTCACCTAACGCAGGGGAGCTTATTCACGAAGCTGTCCTGGCATTGCAGTACGGAGCATCAAGTGAGGACATTGCTCGTACTTGTCATGCACATCCAACAATGAGTGAGGCACTCAAAGAAGCAGCCATGGCCACTTATGACAAGCCCATCCACATGTAGGCCTGTGTTATATCCTCGATAACCTCATTTTTCTTATTCCGTTGAGAATCTTGAATGCTTAGAATAGGCTTTTTGTTGCTGCCGTTACTCAAGCAGCCCATATTCCCCTTAATTCAGGACTCCAAATACACTATATGAATGTTTATCTCCTGCATTTTTCCATAATAAAGATGAGATGTAACCTGCTTTAAACCCTGCAGAAAGTTAACTGCCTAGCACTAAGATGGTGCTAGACATTACAAAACTTCCCATTTACTTTGCTTTTTTGGCATGTATCCCTAAATTCTCTATTTGTCTTGTTTGATTTGGTAGATCAGTCAATTTGGTGATATTTGTGCTTTCAAAAGTTAATACTTTTTGGGAAATATTGAAAACCACGGAAATGCTTGTAGTTTGAAGCATGTTTATGATGCTACTAGATTTTAATGGCGACTTTTATATGAATTAGTGGCGGTTTTATTTGCCACTAATACTATCTTTTAGCGGCAACTGTTATTTGATTTAGTGGCGGATTTAGTTGTCGGTAAAACAAACTTTTAATGGCAACTGTTATATGATTTGTTGCCTGCCACTAATATTACTATATATTAGAAGAGTCTAGGATTTACTACCATTGTTCCAATTAAATCATTACAAATGTCCAATACTTACTATATAAAATATACAAGTGGGCCCCACCTCCTTCCACTTAAATAATATTTTTCAACCTTATCATGGTTAAAGTTGAATTTATTATCCTTTTCATTTAATTTTATATGATATTATTTTTTCTATAAAATCATTATATATGTTTTAATAATTTAAATTTCAAAAACATTATAATTTAACTTTAAAGATTTTATTTTATCAAAATCTTGTACATTGAAATATATAGTTATGAATTTAAAATATTTTTAAAATCATATAAAAATTTCAATAACTTCTCAAATTCCATAATATAACACTTAAATA